TAATAATTGTCGACCCACTTTGTGTTTTTATGTATATTTTTTTTGTCCTTTTTTTTTTCCTCATGTAGTTATCAACATAATCTACATACTTAATGTATATGGCCTTACATGCTATGTTAATTTATTATATTACCAGTTTATCCTCTTTTTGTCTTTAGCCAAGTTACTGTCAGTGATGTTAAGAAGAATATATTAGCCATTACTTCCGACGCAGTTGGTTCTGACAGCATTAGTCGTAAGATGATTATCCCAATACTCGATCTTTTAGCTCCTATACTTACACTTATTTTAAACCGTTCCCTTGACACCAGTGTTTTTCCTTCATCCTGGAAAGACGGCCTAGTAACTCCACTCCCTAAAAAATCTAATCCGACATATGAGGATTACCGTCCTATATCCATCCTTTCCTTTCTCTCTAAAGTACTCGAGCGCCTAATATACCAACAGCTGAGCAAATTCCTGTCCAATCATAACCTTTTGAATTCATTCCAATCTGGATTCCGTCCCGGTCATAGTACGACTACGGCTTTGGTTAGAATCACTGATGATATTCGCCTGGGCATGGATAGTCAGCAGGTTACAGTATTGACATTGCTTGACTTTAGTAATGCCTTCAATACTGTAGACTTTGATGTTTTACTCGCTGTCCTAAGTTCTCTTAACATATCTCCTGAAGTAATTGGTTGGTTTCATAGTTACTTGCATGGGCACCGGCAACGTGTACAAATTCAAGACACGTTTTCTGACTGGTCTGCTGTCAAAGCTGGCGTCCCACAAGGTGGCGTGTTGTCTCCTCTATTGTTCTCTATCTTCATCAATTCGATCTGTTCCCACATAACTTCTCTTTACCACCTATATGCAGACGATTTACAAATCTACTCTCAATGTAAGATTGCGGATCTCCCCAATACAATTAGATTAATTAATGAAGATCTTATTCGTATTTCTCATTGGTGTAATTCATTTGGGCTTAAAGTTAATCCATTGAAGACTCAAGCCATTATTATTGGGAGTTCGAAATTAATCTCTCGGTTAACTTTGTCGCTGCTCCCGCCAATCATATTCGATGGGACACTTATCCCATACAGTGACAAAGTTAAGAATTTAGGTATTATGTTCGATCAGGCTTTGTCTTGGGGACCGCAAGTTAGTGAAATAAGTAAAAAAATGTTTGCCGCAGTTGGTTCACTTCGAAGATTACGCAATGTTCTCCCCATTCCTACTAAAGTTGCGCTGGCTCAGTCTCTTCTTTTACCGATCCTTGACTACGCGGACACTTGTTATCTTGACCTAACATACGAGCAACTTAATAAACTTGAGCGGCTTCAAAATTATTGCATAAGGTTTATATTTGGGTTACGAAAGTATGACCACATATCCGAATTCCGCCATAAGCTCAAGTGGCTCCCGATTCGTCTTCGCAGGAATACTCACATTCTTCATCTTCTTTACTGCATTCTGTTCAACCCGACCACTCCTTCTTATTTGAAAGACCGATTTATATATTTAAGTAGTTTACACTCTTTACCTCTACGATCTCAAAATAACCTCCTTCTAAGTACCCCTAGTCATTCCTCTTCCTTCTATTCTAATTCTTTTACGGTTACCGCTATACGACTATGGAATTCTCTCCCCTTACATATTAAAAAATCTAAATCTCTTCCTATATTTAAAAATAAATTAAAACTTTATTACCTTTCCTCTTAAGTTACTACCTGTCGTCATTCATTTTTTTTTCTTTAATCATTTATGTTCTTCTATTTATCTTTCTTTATCATATTCTGTACACCCCTTCCGCTATCTTTTAAAATAGTATCCTCTGCCCTAAGGTTGCTAGGAAGAGATCGCTGTTTTAGCGATAAGGCCGCCTGTTGTACCAATGTCCCTTTAAATATATAAATAATGTAATATGTTCCTTGGTGTACAATAAAGTATATTTTACTTTACTTTACCAGATTTTCCTTTTTTTCCCTTTTCCTTGTACTTAATGTCGTGGAGAGTGCTCCATCTTTAACTGTTTGTGATATCTGTTGACAGGGTTTCCACAATAGCTTCGTCTCTGTTTCTAATTGCCATTTTCAGATTATATTCTTTGATTCTTTTCGTTGTCGCAGCCATTGCGCTCTCAATCAGCCTCCCAGTTGCATCGTCGCAAACGTCCGTGTAATAAACACAGCTTTCTGTGTGCCTGGACACTGCCACTACTGCGTGTTGGACGCTGTCATAAATTTTGAGCTTCTCTGTTGTTGTCCTCATTATGGCCACTCTCCCGTATGTGAGACCTTGGGCCTCATGTACGGTTAAAATTCGCGACCCAGGACCCGAACCATATCCCTGGCTGGTAAGGGACTCCTTTTCTGCTTGCGTAAATGCAAGATATAAGGTGTCGGGCAGGGTACCTGGTATGACGACTCCCGTGTACCTCTTCCTTTCTAGTGAGTGCACCTGAGATCTGGATGAGTAAATGCCACTGTAGATTTCATTCAGGGCATATGCCACATCCATCGGATTCCGGTGCGTACACAGGAGTTCTTGGCTGATAGTGGTCACGAGGCTTGGGCGAGTATATTGCATCGCAAAGAGGTTTTCCCTGTCGATATAAGGGAGTTGATTGATGTCACCAATAAGCAGTATTTTTTCCGCTCCACTTAGTCGCATTGCCATTACTATGGCCCCGAAATGGTACATGAGAGCTTCGTCGAATAAAAGTCGAGTACATCTTCCCTTTTGCCTTCTCATACCATTTACTAAAACTGAGGCCATAGTGCGCACTTTTGTTTTTGCGTCAGTGGCTATGCGGTTGGCTAACTTTTCTCTAAGATCTTTAGCTGCTTCTGTTGTTGTTGTGACAATCAAATCATCCTCCGCATCGAATTGGTTTATAACCCAAGTTGTTTTGCCACATCCCGGGACTCCATTGACCCAATTTATCGTCGGCACCGTCCAGTTTTCCCAAGAATCTCCCAATGCACAGGCTCCCGAGATGGTTTCCGCCATTTTTAGGATCCTGTCCTCTAGCATCACCCTGGTACAACGGGCGGTGACCACAATAGGGTCGTTGGGGGGGGGGTTTTGAATACTAATCTTCCCTGTCGTTCTGTCTCCTCCTCATCCAAGGCTACGAAGCCCGCTGACCCGCTATAAGCCGCCATGTGATGACCCATTTTACCTCTTATGACAGTAGATGTTTTGTTGTCATAAATTGCGGCCTCTGCTTCCTCGAGCTGCACCCCAAGGAACTCATGACTACCGAGGTGGAAACTTTGTAAGATATTCTTGCAAGTAGTTTGGTTCACCTCAAGAGTTGCTTTTATGAGGGCCTTAAACTCTAAGAAAGCGTTGATTATGTGGTCTTTAGGCTCGACCGCTGGTAGAAGTCTTGGAGGGCTGACACGTCCCGAACAGGGTCTAGTGTGGGTGGGTTTGGATTTCTTGAGTACTCTTGGAGGCTCTCTTATTAGGTTATCGGCTTGTCTTAACTTGCTCAACTTTCGCATTGCTCTTCCTGGAATGCTCTGGGCCGCTGCACTGATGGTTTTAATTAGTGCACTTACCCCGCTTTGTGACTCAGAACTTTTGCTAAGTTTTTCCCTGGCTGCGGCCTTTTCTTTGGCCGTTTTCAGTTGCAGGAGTTCTGAGCCACTAAGTGTCTCTGGATTTGCTACAAGATGTTGGGTTGCCTTTGTTGAATCGTGATGTTTGAGGAAGCTCAGGTTTTCGCCCCTATCCTCATACACGACTATTTCATGTTTGTTTGAGGCTTTTATACAACCAAAGTGGTCCATGACTTCACTTTTCTCATATAGGACCACCATGGCATCCACACTTATGATGCGGGGTATGACAGATGTCTCTTCCTCACCGAGTCTCGTTAGCAGTGAGCATGCCTGGGCGAATGGGGTTTTTTCTTCGCTCCATGTGAACAGCAAGATCGTTTTGTTTTTCGATCTTACTATTCGACATCGTTGCTTTGCAACCTCTATTTCAACTAGCGCCCCATATGTTTTGCGCTTCATGCTCGTTTTGAGAGTACTGCCGTTTAGTAAGCTTGCGAGACCGGGAGATATTTTGACATAGTTTCGGCCAGTTGTTAAGCAAAAACTTAAGCCGAAACGCTCTGTGTTGTTATCCATGAAGAGAGCTACTCCTCGAATTCTCAGGCCTGGGTTACCTCTTTCAGCGCATGCAAGTAGCTGATGGTCTGCTTTTTGGCTGGGATGCTCCTCTCCTTTACGGAGACCTCTGCGAATTCCGCGACAGTTTGCTGCTGCCTGGGGAATGGATAGTTCATGGCGTTACGCTTTGCAGCAGCGCGAAAGATGGACTCCACGAATGCCAGAAATTTGGGCCTTTTTTCTTCGTCTTCGATGATTTTGTGTAGGTCAGACTTGTCAAGATTGGTGTTTATGCAAAACTCGAGATCCAGACGTGCCGCCTGATAGCGGGGACACTCCAGAATCACATGCCACACTGACTCACTGACATTGGGATCGCACTCGCACCCTGGTGTATCCTTAAGCTTAAAGCGGTGCAAGTACTCCGCAATTCCACCATGTCCTGTTAACACTTGTACCTGTGTGGGTGTCTACTTCGTCTTTCTCACTATCCGGTATGCTATTGCAACATCCGGTACAGTACACATCTGAAAGTGACATATTCAACATAAGCTCCACGGAGAAATTGCTTAAAAAATAGCAATTTTTGAGCTACGCGAGTGGAAGTGCTGTGAAAAAGTTTTTGAGTGTGCAGTTCATCAGTGTAATTGGGGAGAACTCTGTGCATTGGATGGTTTAGGAGCAGTAGCCTCTTAACTTTGGGGATAAATAGTGTCGACACCATCAGCAAAATTGCCAAGTACTTATCAGTACTTGAGAGCCGCTATAGAGATCAGTAAAACGGCGAAAGAATCAAGAAAATCGGCCCACAAACACAGAAGTTATTGACTCCTTAAAATTAACAACTTAACCTCAAACCACGTGGTTGCTACGTGCTTTCAGACGTTGAGGTTAAAGCGAGTCAGTGAACACGAGGCGTCCGGCGACGGTGCAGACTTCAGTGGAGCCTTCGAAGACGGACCGAGGAATCCCTCAAGCATACAATCGCCGCAGCTGGAGACACTTTCAACGGCCATCAGGTAAACCCCGAGGGAACTCCTAGACCCCTTACTCCTGACCACCCGAGCTTGGACTCATTTGAGTCAGTTTCTCAAGACCCCACCACACATATCACCTCCCCCCATATAACAACCCCTATCCTTGAACCCCCCCCTACCTTTAACACCCTCTTTCACCCTTCCTACCCTCCTAACCCCTACAATCTTTAATTTTATACCAGATATACGCTACTTACGAATTCCCCCCACCCCCCAACTACCTACGCCCCCTCATTTTTTATTATACCATATATAATCTTCCCGCGAATTTACCCCCCCCCTCCCCCCCTCGCCCCTCGAGGCTTACCTCTCCCCCGCGAGCCATAACTAGTTTACCAGAGGAGCTAGACCCCCTGTGTAAGGGCTCATTTGAATCAGGAAAAAGAGCTCTACCTTCTGGCCCCTACAGAATTTTGATTTTCTACCATAGTCCGATACCAACCCGGACAATAACACCTCAAGCATACTCCAGGACTCACAGCATACCAACCGGAGATCCCACAACGGGCTCTTTCTTCGCGTCCATCGTACTCTTCACTGCAATTCAACCATCGAAGAACACCAGCAGTGAGTTCACAAAAAAAAATATAATAAATATCATCAAATATAAAAAAATATATAATACTTGTATAATATTTTATAAGGCATTACCTATATTTATAGCTACTAAGGCAACTTACAATTAGAGAATCTTTTAATTTTTGTAATTATGTCAGGAAATAAAGTAATCATGTCGGATGTGGAGACTGCTTCTTCAATCAAGTCCTCCCAAAACCTTTCTGTTGCTCCACCTAGACCTCCACGATCGCTGCGGGAAAAAGTACTTACAAAATCCAGTTTATCAAAAGCAACACCTAGCGAGAAGTTGTCGCAGCCATCATCTCATCCCGCAACAGGAAAACGTCCAGCGGACTCTGCTCCGACAGACGCATCTACAACAAGAAAAAATGCCTCTTCGCACACCCCCACTCTGGGAACTAAAATGTCGCAAACTTCAGTTAAAAGCGACAGCTCGATCCGATCCTCCGTTTGTGACCCGGTAGATGCGGCTATCGACAAAGTAGCTAACTGGAAGCAGGAAGAAATTCCTCCACTTCCAGTTTTATCCGACGAAGAACTTTCGATCACATCTGCGCCGGAATCACCACTATCGGAGGCACCGGAAAAAGGAAGACCCAGCCTGCTTTTTAACTCCAACAGGCGACTGGGGGTGGAAATGGATATGGCAACAAAAGAAGCGAACGAAATGCTTCTGAGAGGGAAGGAAGCGCTAGAAATGGCAGGGAATATGAAGAGGGAGTGTAAGTTAATAGCTTTAGAGAGTCTGCAGTCCCTCTACGAGATGGTCCTGGCGCTGTCAGATTCCAGATCTAGACATAAGCATAATCTAGAAAGGGAACGCTCACGCAACGCTCAAGAACTAATGCGAGTGGAGCGCGCCCATAACAAGATCATCACCCAGCTTATGAAGGAAATGGCTTCCGAACTAGGCCATGCCAGGACAGATATAAAAAATACCCTCCAGGAATCCAAGGCGATACGGGGTTGGTTGAACTTCGAAACCCAAGAGGCCTTCCGCAAAACGAGCGACCTACTCAAAGCTGTGACGGACTTAGACAAGCGCATAGGTGTGATTCAGTCGAACTTGAGTCAGCAGAAGCAAGAAGGTGCAGACAACATTTTATCTCACCTAAGAGTGGACCTTACTGGAGTAAAATCTAGTGTGGAAACACTCAAACTTCAATTGGACGAAATGCGCAGAGTCATCGAAAAGTCCGAAAACAACACCAAGAAGGTTCTGGAGACCGGCCAAAAAACCCTGCTACGCCTGGAGTCACCACCATCCCACCCCTCAGAGGAAATAAGTAAAACGTTGGAACATGAGCTGAATGGAATGAAGAGTTCGCTGAAGGAGATAGATACAAGTATCAGATCTGGACTTTCAATCTTACCTTCAGCGGACTCCAGTAAAATATTCCAAACCAGCATAAGGGAACATCTTCAACCAATAGAAGAACACTTAGGTACAATGTCATCCGAGCTGAGGACGATGAGAGAGCAGAAGCAACGGGCCCCATCACCTACAGCCCCAAATCTAACAACAGAGCTTGCACAAACTGGCGAAGCAGCAACAAAGCCAAAAAAGACATACGCCAGAGTGGCTGCAAGCCCTCCCCTTCCTAAACCCAATCACACTCTCATTATCACATCAACTGATTCGAAAAACACAGCCGAAAATATCATCGAGAGAATCAGGGAGGTTCTAGACACAAAAAAGACTGGAGCCAAAGTAGATAGGGTAAGGAAGGCGAAAAACCAAAAAGTCGTCCTCAGTTGCAACACCAAGGAGGATCTTAACCTTGTCCAAAATAGAGTTAAGACAAATAAAAGTTTAAAAGTAGAGGTTGCCAGAACAAACAATCCCTTGGCGATAATCAGGGACGTGCTATCGTATCACACAGACGTCGAAATCGTGGAAAATATACTGGCGCAGAACAAACACCTTCTGCATGACGTCGATGAGAAAGAACGCACAGTCAGAGTTCGATACAGGAAAAAGGCGAGGAATCCACAAGAGTGCCATCCTGTACTTGAGCTCTCTCCAAAAGTGCACAGGCGCTTCATTGATGCGGGTAAAATTTACATCGGCCTCCAAAGAAGACCAATAATGGATCACTCTCCCCTTGTGCAATGCACAAAATGCCTCGGTTTTGGCCACACAAAAGCAGTGTGCCATGAAAAGGAGGAACTCTGCAGTCACTGCGGAGAGACCCATTCATGGGACAAATGCCCGATCAGACTGGAGGGGAGACCCCCCCGATGTAAAAATTGCCTCAAAGCGCACGGTGCCGATACGGACCTGGCACACAATGCTTTTAGCTTTGATTGCCGGGAAAAGCAGAAGTGGGATGCAATAGCACGGTCCCGCATATCTTACTGCTAAGGGCAACCAAAATAATATAAACTCCAACATTAGTAGGTCAGACCTCAAAATCATTCAGGTGAACTTGCAACGCTCCAGGGTAGCAACGGCGGAACTACTTCAGGTTGCATCGAATAAAGGAGTGTCGATTGCCATAGTACAGGAACCCTATGTGGGAAAAAATGGCGTTATTAAAGAACATCCTGGCACGCGAGTAGTTCAATGCAGCCTGAATAGACAAAAACCGGTAAAGGCCGCAGTGCTGATCTTCGGAGATCAGCTGGAGATTATCCATGATCCACAGCTGGTTACCGAAACAGAAGCGGCAGTACTTCTCGTTGCAGGAAATTTAAAACTGGGAGTCGTGTCAGTTTACCTCGAGGGAGAGCAAGATATAAATCCCTACCTTAGGCGAATCCAAGCAGCTTGCGTAAAACTTCACACAAACAACATCATAGTGGCTGGAGACATAAATGCTTGGAGCCAATGGTGGGGAAGTAATTCCGAAGATGAAAGAGGCGCGGCATATAACACCTTCCTCAATGAAATGGATCTCCATATTCTGAACACGGGTGACACGCCTACCTTCGAAACATACAGAAGGGGGAGAATTTGTTCGAGCATAGTAGACGTCACTGCTTGCAGTTCGTCACTTCTCGGCAATGTGGAGGACTGGAGAGTGGAGAGAAGCCTAATTACATCAGACCACAACGCGATTATGTTTACACTGCGCACCAAAGCGGTCTTGACACAATTACGGCCCTGCACAACGCGCAAATACAACACCAGAAAGGCAAACTGGTCGGACTTCTCAACACGCTTTAGATCCCTTCTAAAAGAAAGAGCCATAACTCCCACACTAATTGAGGAGGCGGAAATCCATGACGATCTGGAATCTATCACAATAGCCTACACAAAAGCAATCCAGGAATCTTGTGATGAGACTATTCCGAAAATGGGCATGAGGGGGGTGAATGCAACGCCCCCATGGTGGTCAAAATCCCTCAACCAACTCAAAAAAGAAGTCCATAGGAAAAAAAGACGTATTAGAAATGCGGCACCAAGTCGAAGACAACACGTAATAGACGAATACATAAGTTTTAAACAACAATACACCATAAAAGTTGAGGAGGCGCAAACCGAAAGCTGGAAGGAATTCTGCACGACACAGGAAAGGGAGAGCATGTGGGATAAAATTTACAGAGTTATCCGGAAATCCTCAAGAAGATATGAGGACATGCTCCTAAGAAACATCCAAGGGGAAACTCTGACACCAAAAGAGTCGGCAGAACTCTTGGCCCAAACATTTTACCCTGACGACTGTGTGGAAACAGATCAGCCATACCACACCAAAATACGAGAGCTGACGGAAATTAACAAAGACCTAGGTTTGTCAGAAGATGACCCACCTTTTGCAGAAGCGGAGCTTGAATCAGTGTTACAAACACTAAACCCCAAAAAGGCCCCTGGACCAGACGGGCTAACAGCTGACATCTGCTCCGCTGCAATAAACTGCAACAGGAAGGTATTCTTAGCGATAGCCAACAAGTGCTTGAAATTGGCGTACTTTCCCAAGCAGTGGAAAACTGCACATGTGGTCATCATCCGTAAGCCAGGAAAGGATGACTATACACATCCAAAGTCATACCGACCAATAGGTCTCCTGTCAGTACTCGGAAAAATAGTCGAGAAGTTGATGGTGGGCCGACTCCAGTCTTCCATCCTGTACAGTCTTCCAATCCGAGCTCTATGCCTTGCTCAGGGCGACCAAACTAGCTGAATCGAGCACTAAACCTGTTGTTAACATTATGAGTGACTCAAGATCTTCGCTCGATCTGCTGGCAAACCCTAAAGCAAGCCACCCCCTATCAAAGGCCATTCAAGAAAGCATAGGGAAGATGAGAAAAGAGGGAAGAGTGATACGGCTGTTTTGTAATGATTTCTTATATTTACGCGAACATTGCACATGATTAAAACTACTTTTACGGATTTTATCGCGTTTATTTTTACTTTTTATTTTTAAGACGTTTCGGGCGCTTTCCAGCACCCATGGTCACGGGGGACTGAGATGACTGACGTCCCGATGTCATTGTTAAACCCGGAGTACCTTCAGCTTTTTTAATTATTGTTTATGGTCCGATCTATGCATTTTGCATAGTCAGTAGTCAGTTCATTTTGCATAGATCGGACCATAAACAATAATTAAAAAAGCTGAAGGTACCCGGGTTTAACAATGACATCGGGACGTCAGTCATCTCAGTCCCCCGTGACCATGGGTGCTAGAAAGCGCCCGAAACGTCTTAAAAATAAAAATAAAAAGTAAAAAATAAACGCGATAAAATCCGTAAAAGTAGTTTTAATCACGGCTGTTTTGGTTGAGGGCTCATGTAGGCACGTCTGGAAATGAGAGAGCTGATGAGCTTGCCAAGGCGGCGGCACTCCGGGAGACAGCCACTCCAGACTACGACAAAATCCCCATGTCCTACGTTAAAAAGAAAATCAGAGAGGAAACCGTTCGAATCTGGCAGGACAGATACGAGACCTCGACCACTGGGCAAGTCACCAAAATATTCCTACCGGTTAGGTTAGGTTAGGTTAGGTTAGGTTAGGTTAGGTTAGGTTAGGTTAGGTTAGGTTAGGTTAGGTTAGGTTTTTTTTTTTTTTTTTTTTTTTTTTTTTTTATTTCTAGTTCCCCCTAACGTGGAGATCAGGGACTTTTTCCATCTTTTTTTATTTTTATTTCTTTATTTATATATTTTCTAATTTTTTATTTTATCTTTTTGCTTTTTTCTTTTTTACTTCTTTTTGACTTACATTCTATTACAGTTCTTAAATTTAGATTACACATGTCTTACATTACTGCATTCATCTTTATTACTATGTCTTAATCTACTTTTATTCTTAGATTTATCTTTAGCTCTTAGTTTCTGATGCAATTCTTATTTCTATTTTAATATACCTTACATTGTTGTCTATATATTACTTTTTATATTTCTTACTATAACTTAATCTATTTTTATTTTTGCTATTTTTATGGGGCTGTTTACATTATATACTTATATATAATTACAGTTTCCCTTTTCATACTCTTATTTATTCTTTTGTATCACTTTATTAGCTATAGTTTTACAGTACTTTAGGAACCTACTTCTAACATATTTATTTCTTATTATTTTACATATATTTTCTTTACTAATTTTTTATTGCTAATTCTATTTCTATATCATTTCTATATTTGCTGTAGACAGGACATTCTGTAATAATGTGTATTACACTTTCTTCTTTCATCGGATCACAGACACATGCCGGGCTCTCTTTGCATTTGAATCGATGCAAATATTCTGAGAACCCGCCATGTCCTGTCATCACTTGCACCGTTAGCGAGTCCATGTATATTTTCCTTATTATAGGATAGGCGCTTAAGGCGTCTGGAAAGAAGACTTTTGTTACAGAGGCCGTTTCGCCTTCCATGTAGAGCCGGTTCCATTCGTCAAGCGAATCTAGACGAATCTGTCTCCTGACGAATGAAGTCGGGCACTTATCGTAGTCCGATTTGCGTTTAATTTTTAATGCAGCCTCTTTCGCTAACTTGTCCGCCCTCTCGTTTCCCTCCAATCCTGCGTGTGCCTTAACCCAAAACAATTTAAGCACTTTTCCCTTTTTTGTTTATTTCCGATATGTTTTTTTCTAATTTTTTCCGCTAGGGGATGGAGGGAAACGCTCTGAACAAGTGTCTGGAGGGCAGATCTAGAGTCGCTGTATATGCGGCAGATCTGTGCCGGATCTTTCAGGGCATAATTTGTTGCCTCGTATATGGCCAGCAATTCTGCCTGGTAGACAGTGCAGAAGTCTTCCAACTTTAATTTTCGGGTACTTGTCTCCGCTGCGTCATTCCAAATTGATAACGCAGCGCCGACTTGTCCCTCGATCTTGCTACCGTCTGTAAATATTTTTAAACCTTCATTGTTATGTTGGTCGACCTGTGCACCATCATCCAGGCATGTGAACTGCAGCCCAACTTGATACGCGGGGTGAGGTGTCTTTACGTACTCTACTTTTCGTTCCACGTCCCGATCTCCCACTACTCGCTGGGAATGACCTTTCTTTATTTCATAAAATAAGGCTGCTTCCCGGACTCTTAGGTCCAAGGGAAGCAACCCAGCGAGCAGTAGGGCAGAGTGCAGTGATACGGTTTTATAAGACTTTATTATTTTTTGAACGACGGGTTCGTTGTACCGTGTCGAGCTGCTTTTTTTACTTTTTTGTTTATATGTTGCCGGCGCCCATACGCTTGCCGCATACAATATGATCGGCTCCGTTACTGCCACATAAATGGTCCCGACTATCTCCGGGTTCAAGCCCCAACTAATTCTTGC